TGCTTTGGATGTTAGGTCTTTAAATACATTTTAGATTTTGGAAGTGCTTACACCCTAAAGGCTGCATTTACATGACTGTGACCATGATCACAACTGTAACTATAACCATGATCATGATTAGAAACTATTTCTGTATTATTATTCTTACCATCACTTTCTTGATCACTACTAATTTTATCGATTTCTTCAAAATACATACTGGTCTTTTTACTATTATTCTTCAATTTACTTCCACTATCATAAGTTTCTGTGAATTTTAAATCACTAACTCCTAGCAAATTCTTAGCAATTTCAACTAACTTTTGATTTTAGCTTATTTATTGGTCTTGTATCAGATAATAAAAAATCGAACCGCTTAACACTATCTGAATTTACTACATTTTTTGAAGGCCCAGAAACTTTGTTATAAATTTCAAAAATACTTTGATAAGTAGCCAAAAGTTTAGATCGTATAGACCGAGATGATATAGTTTAACCTTGAAAATTACTAGAATCTAACACTCGCTTTTTAACTTCTACATGCGTTTCAATATAATTAATATCCTTAGCATAAATATATATATCATCCTAAATAATTTTTAACTCTACCACAACAAAAAGTAAAGACTCATTTGGCTGAATAGAATTGTTAAAATGTAGAAAATGAGAATTAGAATATGGGAACACAACATTAACTATAAAACTAATATTTTCAGTAGTATAGTCATTCATCAAAGTTTTAACAATAGCATTCTCATTATTTAGAAGTATCTCAGCCTTATTCTGAGCAATATCAATTACAGAAACCTTTAACAGGCAATTATTTGAATCAGATATTTTATTAATATTAATGTGCATTGAAGTCAATACCATCATCTAGATTTAATAATAAAAAATAAATAATACTGATAATAGTCAGATTCAAATTTTTTTAATATTCATTTTATCTTTACTCTTTTAACACCCCAATAAGTTTCAGGCATGACCATTTCACTAACCGCATAATAATAATTTTTTTTAAAAATAGCCCGACTATCAGGATCTCTTTCTTTAGGATATATCAGCACAAACATAATCATCACCATACTATTAGATTCTTGTTTAACAGAATAAACTTTAACTGCCCATACTACTACTGAATTAATTTCATCATTTATATATTGTCAAACTTGACTAACTTTCATGATAGTATTAGCAAAACATGGTATAATTGTTTTAATGATTTATTATTATTTTTTTTTCTCTGAGCAAGATGACCAATATAAATACCTACTGCATATAACCAATTTTAGAAATATTATATATCATAAATAAATAATACCAAAAAATATTTTATATATTATATACATTATTTTTTACCGTACAAATCTTTTTTATCTTTAATATATCCTGAACTTTAATTTGATTTAAAATATCACTATATATGCTAATATATATGAATCATAAAACATAATTAGCAGCAACAAAAAAAAAGTATAATATTAACAACAACTATATGCATATATGCAGGTTACCTTTATTAATATCAACCTATTTGGATTTGACAATCATACTAATATATTTAAAGGTTGATAATAATGTGATAGTTTTATATAATCTAAGTCTGTTCTTTTTTAATAAGTAACTAATATTAATAGAAGATTGATATTAACAAAATTAATATTAGTAAGAGCGATCTATATAATTAATTCAATATTATTTATTTATAATAATAATCAACAAAATAATTTATTCTACCTTTTTAATCTATATATTGTATTTATCCCAAAATCCTTAATATAATTTGCATCCCTATTATAATAAACACTGATTTTAAATATCTATTATAAATATTTAATATACTGAATAATTAAAAAAAATATATAAACTTCTCTAAATTCAGAACAATTCTACTATTCTTCTACACTGATATCAATGTCATATATTTTTTATTATTATGACACAAATAACTTCACTAATAATGAATTTACTAACTCAACCAACAATTACCATGATCAATGTCTAAATCCCAATACTAACTCTCAAAATATAGCATATTGGAAACCATGCTCAGACTTGGTATTCCTTAAAAATCATCTATACAACACCACCTTTTATGATTTTCTAGATATCACATGTTTCTACTATACAATCTTAATGCTTACTTTGGAAGTTTCGTAAAAATAATATAATGAAAACTTTAATTATCCATTAATTCATCACTTCTGAATCAACTATTACAATTTCACACCAGAGAAAAATTACTATATATAAATTAAAGATCTGTAGCCCGGCCTCGTGCCTATACTCAACAAAAGCCTTGGCACTGCCATGGCACAAAAAATTTAGCATTAACTTGCCAGGCATCTTTTAAGCATAGTCATTAAAAGCCTATGCACAAGTTTAAACACTATGTGCCTATAGACATATAAGTTATGCATAAATTAATTCGGCATTTTTATATTTAAAGCACAAAATGCTTAGTTTAAAAATGCCTGGCATTTTTAAAAATATAAGTTCAAATGCCTAACATATATATGCCATAGTACAAGAATGGCACAAATATGGCATGAGTATGGCACAAGATAGCACAAGTATAGCACAAGTATACCACAAGTATAGCACAAGTATACTACAAGTATGACACAAGTATACCACAAATATGGCACAAGTATGCCACAAGTACTATACTTGTACCATACTTGTAGCATACTTGTACCATACTTGTAGCATACTTGTGCCATATCTGTACCACACTTGTACTATACAGAGAAAAATATTATATACAGGCAAAAATTTTTGATAGTATAATGAATTAAAATTTTAGTTTATTTTTGTTCTAAATTCATATTTTAGTTGGTAACTTTGCCGCATATACATAGTTTATTTGTGTTACCCATCTAGTGTTGGAAATCTAATATTCTCAACATTCTCAAGAAAATTAAAAACATTTTTGAGAACATAATATTTAAAAATTATGTTTTTATTATAAGAACATAAAATTTTTTAATTTTTAATATAATTAATAGTATTTTGAGAATATAATATTTTTTTAAATATAGTAAAATTTTATTAATAAAAACATTAACTCTAAAATTTATATTCTCAAAAAACAAAAAAAAAATTTCTGATTTCCTTTACTAACCCTATCCATTCTGGTAACAATGTTAATTTTAGTAGATTTATTAATTTCTTTTAATTATTTCATAACTTATACTAAAATTGCAGTGATAGATTGTTATTGTGGTTTAATCATATGTTTGTTACTAAACACTTGAGGGTGCAAACATAGCTGTTTGAACCTGTTGCTGTAACCAACTTGCATAATCAGGGAAATGACTAAGGAATAGGTGTGTAAATATCTCTGTGGGGGTGTAAGCATCCTAGCAATAGTGTAATCGTACTCGTAGTCATGTAAATGCAGCCTTTAGGGTGTAAGCACTTCCAAAATCTAAAATGTATTTAAAGACCTAACATCCAAAGCA